CAATCTTCATTCGTGCTAATTTGACACTCAAAAAATTGTATATACCTAATTAATTCTGAGCTAGAAAATCCATGAATGTGTAGTCGGTAACATGNTACTTTACTATAGTTTGTTTAAATGTGAAAGCTAATTCCTTCTAGTAGTTAGCATGCATGTAGATCTTTTTAATTATAATTTACTATCTAAGGATAATGTAAGGACCGTCAGAAACAAAAAGTAATAATTAATTTATGATTTTAAAAAAAAAAAACATCTCCATCACTGGGCATCGCAAATTCTTCTTTTCATATTTAAAATCTCAGATAATTATCCTTTCTACTAGCTATGCATGCACTTTGTTCCACAAAAGAAAAGAAATAATTCTGACTTAATTTCTTAATTATCTCATCTATGATGGCATCTTATCATTATGGTAAGATTGATGAGATCCCTTCACCATACGGTAAGTACTACTCATTAAAAGTCACCAATTATATTTTAGCTTTAGGAATGAAGAAACTCTTGGTATGAAATGCTTGCCCTTTAATAGGCCATATGCAGGTTGAACCCACAAACTTCGAATTAGTCGAGCCAATAAATTTCTGATACGAAAGAAAATAAAAAGAATATTGGAAACTCCATAGATCCTACTAGGAAGATGGTGAGGAAGGTCACAAAACAAAGATACACAAGAATTTGCAATGCTATATAGAAGCACACCAACCAAAAAGCAAACATACATTTTATCAAAGTCACCATCTCTAAAGTCTTTCTTAGGTCTTATTGGTTTGTTTTCTCAAGCACAATGAGCTCCAACTTCCTAGAAACAAGCAATTCTCAAAGAGGAAACCCTAGCTTTACTTCTCCTTTTCTTTACTCACATATGACTCAAGATTGTGGTTATAATTTTCAAGATTGTGATTTTAATAATTTTCAGGATTTTGAATCTTCTTCATTTCTTGATCAGCTGCTTGTTGATTATTCTCCTACCAATAACAACTTCAACACTTCTCTTTCAGAAAATCCCAACATGCAGGAAATAAGTAGTACCAATATTAATCGCTTGAAAGAGTAAGTGATCAAGCTAGCTAAGAAGATCTTGGCTATAATTAGTGGTCATTCTATTTTTAATATTTTCATAATTCTTGGTATATTTTCTTTATGTAGTTTTTGACTTTTTTTTTACAGAAAATCCGAAGAGGGGAAAAAGAAAGAGAAGATGAATGAAAGACATGTACAAGCTATTGCTTTTAGAACAAAGACTCAACTTGAGATCTTGTATGATGGATATAAATGGAGGAAGTATGGGAAGAAGAAGGTGAAAAGTAACACAAATCTAAGGTAAATTCTAAATTATGAGCTCATGCATGCAAATTTTTCCACTATGACGATCAATACTCATGTAGATCTGTTGATTGTAATTCTATATATTTATTCTATCTTTGTTCGCTTTTACTTTTTTCAGAAATGTTAGAAGAAGATTTTCACATAAATCAAACTTCAAAACGATACGAAAATACTTTTTTGTGGTCCTGGACATGATCATGCTCTAGATTTGACTGCCCTTGAGTTTCTTGCCTTTTGAAATGCATCTTTTTTGTCCTTACCAGGTAAACCTGTGTCTAAAAATGAGAAAATAAGAATCTCAAATAAATTGAGAGAATGATCATCCTCGCTGACCAAGTTATTAATTTACTATGTATTATGTATACCTTGAAGATTAGGGCCACTGCTATATATTACGGAGCTATATAGTGGTTTCACTCGAACTCCCTTCGTCGAAGAGTTATATGTCAAAATTAACAAGCAATACATGCGAATTTTGACCACAGTCTCAACTATACGCTTATGCTTCCCAATGGCGGATCTACGTTGATAGATCTAGGGTGCTTCAGCACCCATTATATTTGGGGTACTACACTATTTATTTATATAGAGAAACTAATGATACACAAAAAAATTATTGTTGAGCACCCATCTCTCTTCATGAACTTCAAACTAAAAGTAATTAAGCACCCATAATATAAAATTTTTGGATGCGCCACTGAGTCGCTTCTCCAGAACGATGGCAAAAAATTAAAAGAAGAAACAACGGCCCGGAAAAATTATGTAAAATATTTAACGTGGCTCGCGTGTATTATACGCGCTGGTTAAATCTGGTGTTGACATCTAGGGTGGTAATAAATCCACTTCAAACAAGTATAAAGAGATAATAGGTCTCTCGCAAAGTTAAGGTCGATGAAGTTACTAGGGATTTCTCTCCGGTATCTGCTAAGATGCTCCGATCTTTGGTTGACGCTATTATGTGAAAAAGATCTCAATTTTCTCAAAGATTAGAGATGTCACTGTCCATCACCTTACCTCACACGGGAGGCCCCGCGCCAAGTGATTCTCCCCCAAAAAACTCTCTGACGTACCTTTGATCCATTGAGCGAGGGTCCTTCCACACGGGATTCCCGGATCACTATGATCGACACTGCGGTAACGAGCCGTAAGAAAGATGAGCAGAGCATTCTTTCTGCCGCCTTTATAGTAGTAGGATAAAATATCCATTTTCAGGGTATTTTATGTATTATGCATTTTACGTGTGTGTGAGAGTGTGTGTGTATATATATATATAT